AAATTTTTCATTTTCTGTTTATCGTAATAGAATTTTTGTTATAATAAACAAAAGTAAACCTTATACCATTGCAGTATGGTCGGCTTTGTTTTGGAGAACGTTAATAGGTGTTAATCATTCGTCGTCTCGTAGACTTTTTGCTATTGCCGCTACATGGCATTACATTGAATGAAATTTCGATGTAAAATCGATACGTCGCAACTTGCAATAATAGGTATTGAATTTTCAACAATACGCCATCGAGTAAAGTTTAAATTACATTAATAGTTCACAATTTGTTACATTTTTTTAAGTTAGAAACTACGACCAATCATTATCAAGATTTCATGGTGTTTAACATATGATAGTGTGAGTTTTGGCGACAGCAGTACAGATAGTAATCGAGGCTTCAGGCATTTATTTTTTTTTCTTCTGTGAAATAAACATCATGATATTCAATAAAATAAATATTTCAAGATATTTAAAGGGGTCAATCTGTTCATAAAAAAAACAACTGTTGCTTCCTAAACGTTCTAACGTTCGATATTATTTTCATAAAAAAAGAGTTGTGTTATTTTGGTGGAGCAGGATATATTTTGGTAGTGTTTTATAAATATTTAATATGAGACATACAGTGGTTTGAATTAATTATAATATGGGTGAGAAGTAAGCCCTAAAGTATGGTGAATAAAACAGTACAAAAACACATTTTTCTAAATTAAAGCATCCTAAAAATTTTGTTTACACAATGCAAAAGTAAGTAATAGAAGAAGGAAATATTTCGAATCAAAAGGTTGTTGTATACCACTGCTATAATCTGGATGTAATACATGTAGGTCAATGTCTGTGCCTACCGCGGCAGCACTTAAGATGGGCGTTGGTTTTCCTCTTAGCGACAACCCGGACGCTCGCCAAGGAAAAGTATTATCTACATCTTTGGAAGGTTAGTCTACTTTTATCTCTTTAAATACTGTGATTACAGAGCTATTAGTTAAAAGCTCACATAATCGCTTAACTAATTATAGATAGCGAAAACAAATTTTTTTATACATTTTTTCATATTTTTGTCTCAGACTACCTGGATGTAGAGCATGTGTGGGCATTGAATGAGGAGATCCCGGGTTCGATTCCCAGTGGAACCAATTTTAGCAACTTTTATAAGTTGGTGCCAGTCTGGGTGTTGCGGGTTGCACCCCAAAGTTAATTTCGTGGCTCTGGTACTCATAATACAGGGAATATCTTAGTTTGAGATTGGGTTAGTGTGTTGGTTATCTGGCACATTATTACTATTTATATACATAATTGAATATTACTATATTCAATTATATTATTATATATATACTATATTATATATACTGTATTACTAACATTTGTTTTTGATTCTAGCCTCTCCCATAGTCTAAAATATACATTGTTTTAAATGGGAGAGGTTATATTCTCCGGTAATGACACAGTCGGTTGGGGTCAAGGACTCAGGATCAAGAACAAGCGAACGATACGTGTCATATCGATCAGCACCGCTTTCTGCATTTTGGCTAGAAGTGGCACTCCAGAGAAATCCAATTATATCAAGTTGTTATTACAATTTTATTATTATTATACTGCTCAATAATTAATAGGGTTACCCATACTTTTCCAAAGTGATCCCTACCGCTCCCCAGTGGGCGCTGAATGAAGAGTCCTAGGTAGAGCCCTCGGAAGCAATTTGCCCCCAATTTATTGATGCTGTCCAGGGAGTGCTACCGCATTTAAAAAAAAACCTGAATTATCTATAGAAACTACTACATACTTACATATAATTTCTTTTCTTTGTGACGTGTTAAGTTAATATGGGCGTTGAAATTTTTTTTTTGCCTAAGTGGGCGGTGAGCCAAAAAGTTTGGAAATCTATGGGCTATCCTGTTGTTATTATTAACCTCTGTTTGTGAATAATTGAAATAATGAACGGTCCATTCGCTTTTAATTTTTTCCTATAACGTTAGTGTCCTTATAAAAATGGGAGTAATTTACTTAAAATCATTAGAAGGAATAGCGAAGTAATAATTATTTATTACTTAACCCTCACTGGGTTCGCCGAGTAGCAAATTAGTTTGTAGTTTACTTCCATTTTCATTAACATGTATTTTCGCTAAGTAACGCTTAAATCTATTAATTATCCCAAAAAATCCTTCTTTGTACGTGGAGCGCACTATAAGTTTCCGGAATGAATAAGAAAAAAATACTATAAATGGTCAGAAATGAATTTATTGTTTCTCAAAATATTCTCCGTTAGCGTTAATTCACTTGTGAACCAATTTTGAAAACTTTTATGCCACTCCTCCATGACCATCTCTGAAACATATTTTTCATACTCTTCAACAACCTCTTCAGGTGAAGAAAATCGTTGACTGCGTAACTGGTTCTTAATTTTTGGAAATAAGTAAAAGTCACAAGGTGCCAGGTCGGGACTGAACACCGGATGGCTCATAAAGTCAACGTTGTTCACCTTCAAAAATTTATTTGTCTGTCTGGCCGTGTGCGAACTGGCATTATCGTGGTGCAAGATGATACGGCGTTTATGGTTATTTTTACGGAGTTTGTCAATAACTTCCGGCAAACAAATGGTCGTGTACCAATCACTATTCACGGTACAACAATTCTCCAAAGCAACAGTAGCCACGTGTCTAGTTTAATTAAAAAAAGAAGTAATCATCCGCTTAGAGATACTTTACACGCGCGCCACTTTGGATAGTTTCGGCTCATCTCGAAACACCTACACGCTCGGTTGCTGCTTTGTTTTTTGATCGTAACTATAAATCCAAGTTTCGGCACCTGTTAACTATGTTGAGTGTGTGCGTGTGTCCCACATCAAATTTGACGCCCCTTCGTTGAATCTGGTAAGCATGGCATTGCACCAAGTGACGCGATCCGTTTTTTGAGCCTCAGTCAAATTGTGTGGCACCCACCGAGAGCACAGCTATTTCACACCCAAATGTTTGTGTAGTATTGACTGTATTTGACTCATGCCTAAAGATTCCCGAATGTCATGGTATATCACATGCATGTCTGTTTTGATCATACGGCGCACAGCATCTACGTTTTTGTTGTTCACAGCAGTGGACGGGCGACCGTCACGAAATTCGTCACTGAGATTCACATGACCGCGTTTGAATTCTGCAAACCAGCTATAAATAGTCGTCTTGCATGGTGCTTCATCGCCAAAAGCAGTTTGAAGTCGAGCGAAGCTCCGCTGAGCTGTTACATTACACTTAAAGTCGTAGAAAATCATACTACGAAAATTTTCACGAGTTAAATCCACGGTGAACTAGACAACCAATTTCTAAAATGATGCCACAATGTAAAAACAAGTGACAGTCAGATGAAACAAACTGTATTCTACAGCTAAAGAGTTCCATTTTCAAATGTTGTAATTACTTTTAAAAATTATTTATGTAAGTGACCAGTTCCGGAAACCTTTAGTGCGCCCTATGTATATTTTTAATCAATAGTAACCAAACCACATATTATCCTGAGTCATTTAGGTTATGGTAAGAACGAATTACAAAGAAGTTTAAATTCCTTGTATTGCATTAGCGACGACGGGCGCGTTGGCTGCGCGCGAGTGCGCTGTGTGCGCGCGCAGCAGCGAGCGACATTTGATGGCCGCCTGCGACACCTGCCGCCAGCACTACCATTTGCATTGCTTGAAGCCGCCTTTGCAGCGTCCGCCTAAGAAGAGCAAATTGTATGGATGGTACGTAATGTAATGTACCTAGACACATTATGGTCTGCAATAACGGATTGACTATTGAGTAGTATGGTATGTGGAATTGTGGATTATTAAAGCAAACACACTTTCAATTTTAAAAACCATGCCAAAACTTTTTCCACTTTTACAAAACCCTGCATTATAATGCTCATCACCCTGTACGTAAAGTCACATCATTTGTATGTAAAGTAAAAAAAAAAATTGTGGTAATTCCAAAGTTTACCTGAACCATGGACCAATAAATCAAGAGGACTGCTAATCTCTTCAGATTCTAACACTATATATTATGTATATGGCCGTGGATATCAACTAATTCCTCTATTAATATAAGTAGTCAGTTTTTGTTCCTTGTAATATTCAAATATTGACCATGTTTAAAATTATTTTACAAACTAATAATATATATATGTATGTGTGTGTGTTACAAACTAATTTATAAATTAACGCTTGCCAATATAGCTAGATGGTGCTAATCTTTAACAAAAGAAAACAGTAACCGAAATAAATTCTTTTTATTTAATTTTTTTTATCCGCGCTAGGAAAACCCTGTATCGCGGGTGCCATAGACACAAACATAGACAACCACAAATTACACCCAAACTCACAACAGAAATAAATTTAGGCTATACAAACATTTCTTCCGGGCTCGGAATTGAACCCGGAAACCTCTGCGTGGCAGACCAGTATGGTAACCGTTTAGTTGGACACGGAGCAGTTAGGTTTCGATTTATGTCAGTCCAATAAGCGCCATCTAGTTAACTTGTTTGTTATAATTAGAAATTAGAGTTGCTTTGATGAAATGACCCTCGTATAAGCAATATTTTTTTATGTCTCAAGAACGAAGACACGATATATAATTTAAAATAAAGTTGTATATTTTGTCTTTTTAAGTTTTTCTGTACTGTAAATTATTATTTTTAACAGGCAATGTTCGGAATGTGATAAGACGTCCGATTCAGAGCCCGAAGTAATGGAGAAGAAGGTACCACGTCGATCACGCATTCGATACAGCAAAGACGGAGCTATCATCCATGAACCACTAAGTCCTAGCTCCACACCAAATTCCCCGCCACCCAAACCGAAGCCAGAGAAAGTACATAGAGAAAAATCCATCAAAGTTGCCACTTCTTCGTCGGAAAATGTTTCACCGATAAAAGTGACGATAAAGCCGTTCGAGTTTAGCAGTGATGGAAACGAAAGTTCCGAGATCAAGATTAAGAAAGACAAGAAACTTAAAAAGTCAAAGTCTAAGGAACATCCCTCCACCTCGGGTGGTGAAGCAGAATCTCCTACTAAGAAACTAAAACGTAGTTTTACTTCTCCAGCGCTCACGAATACACCTCTAATGTCAATAACTCCTCTCGTTGCCGACAGTCCCAACGATTCCCACAACGAGAATTCGAATGCTTCAACCAACCTTATTACTGCTAAGTCGGACAACGTAACTCAAAACCTGTCTTTCTCTTCCCTATTAAACGAATCGAAGGAAAGAGACAGCAAGACTATCGAGACGTCCATTGAAAATACGTTGGCTAACTTATCTTCGGATATTGCTACGTATAAAGCAAATAGAAAGAGAAGGAAGGAGAAACACAGGTCAAGATATTCTCCAGATTTGCTGCGATCGCCGTCAAAATCTCATAAGCATAAACGGAAGAAGAAGACTCAAGATATGGAAAATCCAAACCCACCACATCCGAGAATAACAATCAAGGTAATTAGTTATTACTTTTAAAGTTACTTTATGAATCTAATAATAGCATTAGAATTGATTTTAAATTTCATAACGTGCTTTAAACAAAAAAGGAAAGGCAAATCTCGATAGTCTAAATGTATTTATGTAGTAATAAAGAATTTTAAATAAATTATTATTTAAAATTCTTTATTACTGCATTTCAGTTTTTTTAATGCGAAGGGGTTTTCTTATTTGTAATTTAAACTTTTAATACCATTATAGGTTTGTGAATTAACTAGTTATGTAGCCAAGGCAACTTCGAAAAGGTGTGAGCGCTCAACTAAAGTAATAATATTTAATGATGTTTTACAGATCAAACCGATCCCGAAGCCCGACGGCTCATTGGACACTCAGATGTTCTACGTGCCAACAGATAGTAACGACGGTCCTCCGCCTGCGGTTATGAGGAAACTTTCCAAGGCAAGTGCTTTTGTGTTTTTTATTTTTAATCAACTTCAAAAAAAAAAGTGTAGGTTTCGATTGTATGTATTTTTTATGTATGTTCACCCATTTTTCCGTCAATTGTGGACTGATTTTGAAAATTCTTTTTTTGTTTGAAAGGGTACTTTCCAAGTGGTTCCAATTGTCACTAAGTCAGAATCTGATCAGGTGATCTCATGGAAATCGAGCGAATTACTCAAATTTTATAGGCATATACTTACAATGTATTTGTTGTACATACTGTGAAAAATCAAAGGTTCTCGAATAATCGACGTGCACTACTTGCCTATATTTACTAAAAATGGAAAAATAAACAAATGTTAAAAAAATTGACCAACTTCAAAAAGCACAAGAAGTCACTAACTAAAAAGCGAAAAATTAAAAAAAAATACGGATTTAATCCGAACGACAACAATGTCCATAATACTTTTGATTTGTGTTTGTCCTATTTCGTTTTGTACATACTATTATATTATAATTACTTATTTTTGTTTGATTTTATTTTTTATAATAATAATAACGCACACACTCAACATAGCCCCGCACTAGAGAAACCCTGTGTCGCGCGTGTCACGCTCACACTCAACGCTCACACTCAACATAGCCCCGCACTAGGGAAACCCCGTGTCGCGGGTACCATGGACACACACACAGACAACCACAAATTACACCCAAACTCACAAAAGAAATAAATGTATCGGGAATCGAACCTGGGACCTCTGCGTGGCAGTCCGGCATGGTAACCGTTCGGTCACGGAGGCAGTCAATCAATCTTATCTACATTTATGGTTTATTTATACAATTACAACTTAATGTAATTATTCAGCAGCATGCCGAACAAGCGGCGAAACAGACTCCACCACCTGTGCTTGCTGTAGTTCCCCCGGCTGTGGAAACACCAGTACCAACTACGCCGGTAATCTAAGTTTTTTTAAATTATATAGAAAGTTCCAAACTGTGTCATACCTTATTATATAGTTCCCATGGTCCATGCCTGTTCGCTGGCTCCATGCCTGTTGGAACTTTCAGACATTGATGATTCTTAATGATGTCTTTCTTCGCATAGAAAAGAAGCTTCAGGCACGACCTTGCACGTTATAAATAAATTATAGGACTTAGAATTATTTTATTAGAATAAATTATTTTTCTTCCAAATTCTTTGATACAAGCTTTCACTACCTGAGGAAGGAAAATCTGTAGCAACTGTCACTAAGTCTAAGGTAAGGTATTAGTTTTTTCTAGTTAATTGATTGTTTGGGAATTTCTCTCTCTTCACCGCTCTTTGTCTCTTTTTTCTGCCCCCACTTTCCTCTTCTTTCCTTTGTCTCTCTCTTGTTCTCTCTATTTTTTTTGCAATTCATAACTATTGCGCAACACAGCGGAGGTCAAAGTTAACTTATAAATAAACGCATCTCAATTTAGTGATGGGAATACATAACTATATTTTGTCACTTTTGCTCACCTGACCATTACTGAAACAGTGTTTCCATCAGTCATATTTGCAGTGTCTGTTGAAATGGCAACCGATGCCTATAGACATTAGCTATACAAAGGAACTATCCGTAAAATCGCAAATTGTTGCTGGCCGGCTGGCTTATTTCGCTGGTTTTCCCTTTCTTTCAATCTCGAACACGGTAGTCTTGTTTTGCGGTGGAAATAGGTTATGCGAGAAGCTCCTTCTATCAACTAATAACAGCAACCCATCTTAAGAGCTTAAGATCTTCAAAGTAAAGATTTTTATTCTATAAAATAATTATTTTTAGAAAATAATACTTAAAAACTAAACGAATTACCAAGTATATAATTTATAAATATTACGTCAAATAGCCAGACATAAGTGTATCAGGAATGAGACCAGAATGCAAAAAGGAATTAATATTTAGAAAGGAATTACAACTAATCTTTGTTGTTGATATTGCCTAAAATTCTGTTTAGTGTGATTATTAATTCGTCCTAATTTTATTTTAATAATGTGGAGTTTTATTATTAATTATTCCTAATTTTACAGTAAAGTAAGGACATAGTGCCCTCAGAGTGATGCAGTGCCCTCACGGGGTGTTACATGTCAAGTGCCATTAGCATAAGAACACCAGTTGTATAACCATGTAACTTGCAAATAAAGATTATGAGTATGAGTACTAGCTATTATTGTATACTTATTTTTATTTTTATACGTAGCGGTCGCGTGTGGGTCGGACGCGGACGACGACAGGAGGCGACCCGACGACGCCGCCGGCCGCGCTGACGCCCATGACGCACTGTGACGTCTGCACTCAGCCCGGCGACGCTGCCAATCTTGTCAGGTGCTTTACCATTCCGAACTTCTATAATTCATGCGTAATACTTAGCGATTCCACTGCAGTTGGAGTTCAATAATTCCCTAAAGTCAGGTAATTTTAATATGATGCAGAACTGTGTAAAGTACATGAGATCTTGCCGCTATGTTCGATTTCGCGATTTTCGTTTCTCAGTAATCTAACCTGGCTGACGCTGCCTGCTTATACGGCAAACTTGACGTAAACCTGTGTATGTGTCACTACGTGGACTTGACATATAATCGTGTTATTACAGCCATAAATATCACAACCAGGTATTGACTCTTTCAAACCACTTTTTTTTAATGGGCTGCCAATATCAACCGATACAATATTGGAATTTGTAAAGATATCTTATATCTCATTGCGCGTGTTCTTAGTTAAAATTTGTAAAACAACTTTTATACTCGTGTAGATGTGACGAGTGCGCTAAGCGGTACCACTTCACTTGTCTAGAGCCTCCGCTTAACAAGAATCCGAAGAAACGCGGGTACTCATGGCACTGTGCTGATTGTGACCCAACGGTGAGTAAAGATTATTTTATACTTTATGTCAAGGCTGATAAGTTGGGTTTTGACCCTCGCCATATTGCTGAATTTTTGAAAATAATCTTTTGAAAAATGTCGTCAATAGTCAACTATAATATTGACTGAAAAATCTTTTTATGGGTATACCCGAATAACTAAAAAAAAAAAACCTAGCGCTAATCAACCTTGCATTTGCTCCTGATCTACATTTGAATTAGCGAAAGTTGATGTAACGTGTATGATGTGACTAGGTTGGCGTTCTTGATCAATATTAACTGACTGTATTCATCGAAACTTTATTTTATGTTTTATTAACTTTTATTTTTAATAACAATTTTATTTGTAATTTATTTTATTTTATTTCTCTTTTGTTATGCTAATTTCTTTTTTGTTTTACTTTAGCTTTATCTATTTTTTTTATTTCTTACTGTGTATTTTTGTGTTGTGACGTTTTATAATAAATGGTTTCTATTCTATTCTTGCACTGGCCCAAGTCTAGTGGCCGCCAAATACTAATAAGTTTCCGTTTGACAGTTTAATGACAACTAAATATGAATAAAAACAACTTCATACTTCAATACCTAAAAAATAGATAGCGCCCCAAAATATTCTTTATTTTTTTATATGAGAATTAATGTGTACTCTGTTGAGATTATAAAAGAAAGAAATCTAACAATGGAAACAGTAACCATAATTCCACACAAAACATCATAATTACAGACATATGGGACTTGTCTGGTCTAGATTTACATTTTTTTATAACGTTAAGTGACGCGACGAACAAATCAACTGCCTCTGTGGCCGAACGGTTACCATGCTAGAGTGCCACGCAAAGGTCCCAGGTTCGATTCCCGGGCCGGGAGAAATATTTGTATGGCCTACATTTATTTATCTCGTGAGTTTGGGTGTAATTTGTGGTTGTCTATGTGAGTGTCCATGGCACCCGCGACAGAGGGTTTCCCTAGTGCGGGGCTGTGTTGAGTGTGTGCGTTATTATTATTATTATAACGCGTGCTACCGAAGCGATTTTCAGTCAAACTACTTGATCATATAGTTGCCGCTGCGACCGTCTGCAATTTCACCGAGAAGCGCGAACCTAGACGCGTGTTGTTTACATCAACTCTTGATAATTCATAGTTATATACTGTCTTATTTTTTCCAATAAATCTCACAGTAGACCACTCTTTACAGGATGTCGAAGAAAACAAGTAAACATAGGATCTAACAACCTGCAAGATAAACAACTTACAAGTATTTTTTAAACGTATAAATGCGATTTGACGTGAAATGATGGAATTTTTTATCTATTCTACTTTATTGTAGTAATTTACGTTTACGTAGAGCATTAAATGTGTAAGTAAGGAAACTGCTAATTATTTTATTTAAAAATCTTCATTTCTCTCTACTTCATCACGGCTATGTTAATTTCAATAGAAATATAACCCAGCATGTAAAGTACTAAAGATAGTCAAGTTGAGTCGTTACTGTTATGAGTACTGTGTGAGATAGAACTGTCATATTTATTTGATATAAGCAAATATTTACATGCCTACATCAGGCGCATTGACCGTATGGTAAGCTCCTGAAGGCAACTTCATAATGGAGAGACCAAAATCACGTTACATACGTCGATTACGTCAACACTATTTGGAGGACGGGCAGAGTGTACCTACACCTTGTTTCCCAGCTATCATCTTATCCCACTTTACCCTATAATGTTGTCCCTTGTTGCCGTTATTCTCCCTTTTAAATTTCGATTAAATAATAACAAGACCGAAGGAAAAACCTCTGAAGATAAGGATTACGATTCAGAAAGGAATAATTTGTTATCTCACCCATCATGGGCCACAAGAATAGGGCTAGAGTCCTAGCTAATATTTTTTCATAGACGATACAGCCGCTATTCAAAAAAGAACAGATGCTGCAAATTTACCATAGCAACAACCGACCACGATATGAAGTTTTTTACGAGTTGGATGTAAGCTTGGCTCAGCGGTAGTAGAGCCCCGAAACTTTGGAAAACTTGTCTTTGTTGAATTGTACTTGGTAAGTAGGGTTGCATAAGTACTCCGATGGTAAATAACAATCTACCGTAGTGGCACAATCGTGCTTATGAATTTACTGTCATAATATTTCATGTGGACCTCAGAACAGTAGGTTGTATGGTGTCTAGGTAAATACTCATTCAAGGAACAACTTACTTTAGAAAGAGGACCCCGTTCAATTGGTGCTACTATTTATTGACTTGACGGTAGTGTTTATGTGTCAGTACACGAAATTAGATCTTGAAATTTACTCGACATGGCGCGGTTTCAAATTAATTCGTGAACAGGGCTAAGCTGCAAATCTTTTTGTTAGAAGATAATGTACAAGTATTCAGTTAATTGCGTACATCCAAAGGAAATTGATTCCTCCCGAAGGAGGTGACTCCACTACTATAGGGACCTCTACTATTGAGATCCCTTTGAGTGTAACGCAATCAGTTTAACACTCTGTATAATATATATAATCCCAGCACTATTGATAACCAATTCGGTTCAAATCACGTCTCTTATAGAGAAATTGTAAAGGCTCCATTCTAATAACATTGAGAGGCTCTTCCGAAGTTAGATAATCATTCGTGCGAAGCTACGACGACGCCCCATTGAGTAGATTCAGTAAGCACTGAGTCGGCGCCAATAGGAATAATAAACAGGTGACTTGTTTCTAGCCATTTTAATGTAAAGAGAATGTTTCGCAATCTAATCCCGACTTTGTACGGGCACGTTTATTATAATAATTGGCACTTTTTATGAAAAAACAAGCGACCTTCAAAGTTCGTGGAATTACATCTATTTGCCAAGTTATATTGAAATCTGTTACCGAAAATTGCGCGAGACCGGATTCATCCCCTAGTTTGCCACCCTTGGAGGAATATATTTTTCAAATTTAAATGGAACTAATACTGAGGTATATATATATGTACCCTCTTTACAACAAAAAAATAATCATCAAAATCACACACAAAAAACATACACAAAAAAACAAAAATAAAAATACAGTCGAATTGCGAACCTCCTCTTTTTTTAAATTCTGTTAAAAATGGTTGTTTATTTGAAAAATCGTTGATGTTATCGGGTTGGTTAACTGAAACTAGTAGGTATTTTCAAGTATTATTCTTGAAGTATACAAAATACGCACCGGAGGGTCCCGAGGCCAGCTGTTTTAAAATGATTGTTCCTTTAGTACAGAGCAATACAATAGTTCATTTATATCTTACAAACAGCACTTTCCCATGCTAAATTCAAACCTTATTACGTTAAAATACCAACCTAACATAATTGAAGAGCGATTACATGACATTTTCCAGTCTTCTATTCTCCGTAAGTTCCTAACAAGTTATAAGTTTGCCAGTCCAAATATTTATTACCGTATTCAATGGGCCAAGTTATCGTCGCACGGCACATTCACGCTTCTGGAGTTGAGTTTGTTCCGTGCAAACTTCTGCTGAACTGCATAATTTCATATGACAAACTTGTGTAAGTGGGTTGTTTGCACCTACTAATTATATTTTTGTACATTTATTTCGCTTGGCAATTCGCCTAAGTTGACTTTACAATTCATAAAATTTAAAACAGTTATCACAAAATGATCCGGCTAACTAATATATGTCATAAATACACACCTACCTATTCAAGTACCTATTCAATTGGGGAGTATAAAAATTTTGTTCCTGTTTCCCATACAACCTGTTTAAAATGATCGTCGTCCTTCATTCAAGTCATAAGTCGTTTACGTACAAAAATTTGTCTCGCGTATTTAAGGAATAAATCAAAATTGTTTCAAAAACTTGCAGCTATTCCTCTTATTCATCTTCCGTGACTGTTACCGCAACCTTGACAAACAATTTTAAATTAAGGCGAAGTATTTCAACGCTAGCTTAGCTTTTAGGTGGTGAGGTTTAAGGAGAAAATTGTACACAGATCCGATGACGACAAGCGCCCGATGGCGACTGACGGGTCAGCGGCCGGCGCAGCGTGTGGTTAAGCCGCTGGGCAATTCGCAAAATTTGGGATAAATATAAATTTAATAACTAATAGATAGGGCTTTAGTTGAAAACCAAAATTTAGCAGGTTCTCTTAATAAAGTAAGTTAAAGAGAAATGTCTCCATGTAAAAATGTGGTTTAGACTTTTTTAGCCTGTTTTCAGGATTTTATATGATCGGATGAAGTACATTCTATCGTGTAACAAATTAGCACATTATTTATATCCTTAGGTGTATCGTATATTTTAAGACAATTATTGAATTGTAAATACCTAAACCATTTCATCTAGCAAAACAGTTTTTCCTCCTTCTCCCGTGACTCGCCTTTATAATGTTTTAAGTGTGCGTATAAGAGCGCGCGCGCGCGCGCGCGTGTTTGTGTGTGAGAGCGTATACATACATACATATATATATATATATATATATATATATATATATATATATACATTCCTCGACCTCAATCACCCTGCTGCTGCGTTTGGTTTATAGGCGGGTTCTTGCCTAACAAGGGTGTTTCTGTGCGCCGTCTCGCACTGTTACACAGTAGCTAACAATTAACTTACACAGAGTCATAACTATAATATACAAGATATTTTGGACGGTGTTCTAATAGGATTGTATACATTTTCATAACGACAATTAGTTTGCTCACCCTATAGCACCCATCGACATTGTTGTGTCAGTTCTCAAAATCTAACTGATGTTTTAAAAAAAACTGAAGCTTATCTAGCGCGCCAATCCCAATGACTAATCGTATGCCAATCTCGTGTTGTTATGTGATTATTTAAACCAATAGAAAACTCGTCTTATTCACAATAAAATTTAGCTCATTATGAATACAGTATTGCATTAAGTACAATAAAGAAGTATTTCGGTTTGGACCGCTGCTGTTTATGAAAAGCAGGCTGACCTATATCACCAGTTGAAATGTGAAAATACAAAGGAGGTACATAGATATTGTTATGGTATGTCTTGGTATTTTTTGGAACTTTACATGATTTCGTGAAAAAACGTAAAACGCATATACAAACCTACCTTAAACCTACCTTATCATATGAATATTAAATAAAGTCCTCGTAGCGGGTGCTTCAAAGGTAGATTTAAATTGAGGAAAATCATATTTTGCCGGATACGAGTTATTTTACACATCGCTGTCTTATGGAATTATCAAGTGACAAATTTTAATTGACAGTTACATAATATTCATGGCAATACTAGCGGGGTATGCAAATTTGTAACACGAAGGGCATAGTAGATATGATAATATTATAGAACATCCCTATTCTGTGCTAACATAATATTAAACCTTGTTCAGATTGACAGTACGGAAAGGGAGGTATGGTTTTACCTTGATAGAATTAGAAACTAGTGGTTACCGAAAGCGTTCAAAATTGAAGTAGGTATTCTCGTACCGTTCAACGGTTTTTAAACCGGGATCATGAGTGCTCTGACTAGGTAATGTGCTTGCACGTTCGCGGATCGTGCAACGAGAATGGGCACTTATCTTGTTAAATTAATAATCGATTCCTCGGTGGAGAGCTTTTCTTTGCACATTTTCACGCTTTTATCAAACGTTGATTAAATTCAAACGTTCTTTCTAACACTCTCTTTTTAACAACTTACAATTATGATAAATAAAACTATTTATCATAATTGTAAGATTTTGTAGTGTCTGTGGCTAATGCCACAAAACTACGGCATCGGCTAATGCGATGCCGATATACTAATGGTTGGCTGACGATTGAATATGGTTTAGTACCTTGATAGCTATAAATATGTAGGTATGCTAATTGTGTCAATTATAAATCTCGTTAAATTCGGTATGAATTCCCAGAGACATGATGTGTGATATGTGGAAGGGGACAAATTAACTACCGCTGTTCATTACCGTTTTACATTTTGTTAACACGACTTGAATGTTAACTTCAATTAGACCTGAATCGAAACTCATTCACAGATTCGCACAAAATTACTTCCGGAGTTCACGCTTCACGACTGTTCATTCAATTTATTAGTAAAACGTCATTCATTTGCTATTAGGCATCGATAGAGTTAGGAATATGGCTTCTGTTTGTTTGTGGAATATGTTTTTGTTTATAATGGTACGTGTGTTATTTCTTCTCCACTCATACCCTTTTGATTGGCATCATAAATATATAGGATTTTTTTTTCGGAATATTTTTTCCACATTTGTTCGTTTCGATTCTCAGTTGAGTTAAAACTATACCAAAAATGTGTTCACAATGAAATGAATGAAATGAACCAGCACAAAAAATGCCGTGCTGGTTCATCTCATTTCATTGTATGTATGTGGGGTCAAGG